AAATCATGACTGTATTTTGGGAAGTAAAAGCTTAATAATTGATGTCATACAAATTTGGGGGGGAAATCTGAAATAGAAAGAGTTGAGTGAGCAAAAGAATATGTTGTATTCACAGATGCAAAAGTGTTTGGTAGAACCTTCTACCCACTATCCAAAAAGAGAGATTCTTGGCTAAGAGGATCAAAGCATTCATGTTCCTTTGGCAATGTGTTCCTACACTAGGTAAGAGTACATCAAGTCAAATTATTATATATGGTACTTCTGAGGATTTTTAAATTCTCATTGCTATTATTTTGTACTCATTAAGCAAACATGATAATTTGGCATCCTCTGTAACTTTCTGGCAAGTACAGAATGCTCTAGTCAGCAAATATGAACATTAACTTTATCTGACAGTTCACTTCTCATTGTAAATTAATAAATTGAAATTCTGGTATGTGTGTGAACTTGACCAATACAGGTATTCTTCTGAGAGTTGGGTCTCCCTCTCAATGTTACTACCAAATAATTTTTCTAAGTCTGTAAGAATGACAGCAGCTGGCCCTCCCCCAGAAGTTACCCTTTCCATTTAATTGTAAGCCTCCTTTGAATTAAAACATTACCATATCACCCAAAAGGTATCGTATCTAATAAAGAGGAAATATGCCAATTGACCCTCACACCATTGCAAAATGGCAGCACCCACATCCAATAAGGAGGGAATATGCTGATTGACAGCCCATATCTCAAAGATGGTGACATCCACAGACACAAGATGGCAGTCCCTTCAGCCCCACTGGGGAGGCAGGCATGTGGCAAGGCTGGACCTGCCTCCAGGTGGGCCCAGCTGCTCTGTGCAGCTGCCTCCAGAGTCCCTCAGTCCTCTTAGCCCCCAGGTTCCCAGGACCAGCCTGAGGGGCAGGAAAGCCTTGGATGGTGGCTTCCCAGCCAACCAGGTCCACCTGAGGCTCAGGTAACCAGGGCTGGCTGAGGCTAGCGTTGCTGACAGTGGCATCAGCAGAGGTGTAATGGGGCGTTGCCTTCCCCTGATTGCCGGGTTGCCTCCTGCCCCCAAGGGCTCCTAGACTGTGAGAGGGGGTAGGCCGGACTGAGGGACACCCCCATCAGTGCATGAATTTTTATGCATAGGCCTCTATATCTATATCTATATCTATATCTATATCTATCTATATATCTATATATCTATATCTAAATATATATTTATATCTATCTGTCTATATCTGTATCTATATCTATATCTATATCTATATGTATATCTATATAGTAAATTAATAGAAATGTCTTTTTAATAATATCTATTTTTCTCAAATTAGTTCTCCAAGTTACACTGGCATAGAAAAAAGAAAATATAACTGCAAAAGCTCACATATAACTGAGAAAACTCACTGAGACTGCATTCTGCAACCTTTAACATAGGAATCTGAACTCAGGTGCCCATATTGAATCCCTTCTGTCTGTCTTCTATGTAAAGAGATAGTGAAGACAGATTAGATAATATATTCTGTATATTTTATCTTCTTATTAGTGACCTGGTACACCAATTCATGAACATTTAAAAGTAAATTAATTAGAATGTGGCCAGTGGGGTGGACAGGACTAGGAAAGAAGGGCTGTACATGCCCTGGAGCTAACCTCCTATGGCCTCTCCCCAGCTGGCTGCACCTGGGGTGGCACCATAGCTTAAAGGGTACTTGTGGGGTCCCTTTGGCAAATGGGGTCCCTTGGCCTGGCCTGTGGGGATCAGGCCGAAACTGGCTTTCTGACATCCCCCAAGGGGTCTTGGGGTGCTAGAGGGGACTCTTCAAAGTTGCTGTCATACAGGGTGCGGAATGCAAATGCAAGTGTGTAGTAACCCGAATTCACAGTTGACAGTGTCCCTGCAACAACAACCCATAGCCAAAGGTGGAATCATGTTCCCGGGGGGAATTGGGTTACCTCCTCTCTGGTTTCAGAGTGCATTACCCGATAACCGCCGCTATCAAGTCACTGAAGCTTGACAGCTCCTGTGTTGAGCATTTGCCTCCTGGAGGTCAGTGCACATCGTAGTTACCGTGGAACAGTAGGAGGAACTCTTAGTATATTAGCCTTTTATATATACTGAGTGGCCAAATTATTATGATGGGTGAATGCATAATAATTTGGCCACTCTGTGTGTGTGTGTGTGTGTGTGTGTGTGTGTATAATATATTTAATAAAAGAGTAATATGCAAATTGACCATCACTCCAACACACAAGATGGCTGCCCCTATGTGGTCAAAGATGGCTGCCCCCATGTGGACGTAAGATGATCACCACAAAATGGCCAGCAGGGGAGGGAAGTTGGGAGGAACCAGGCCTGGAAGGGAAGGCAGTTAGGGGCAATCAAGTCTCCAGGGGAGGAAAGTAGGGGTGACCAGGCCAGTAGAGGAGGGCAGTTGGGGGCTACTAGGCCTGCAGAGAAGAGCAGTTGGGGGAATCAGGCCTTTAGGGGAGGGCAGTTAGGGTGACCAGGCCTGCAGGGAAGGGCATTTAGGGGCAAACAGGCTGGCAGGGGAGCAGTTAGGCATCAATCAGGCTGGCAGGGGAGTGATTAGGGGGTGATCAGGCTGGCAGGCAGAAACAGTTAGGAACAATCAGGAAGGCAGGCAGGCAAGCAGTTGGGAGCCAGCAGTCTTGGATTGTGAGAGGGATCCCAGATTGGAGAGGGTGCAGGCTGGGCTTAGGGACACACACCCCCATGCACAGTTTCATGCACCGAGCCTCTAGTGTGTGTGTGTGTATACACACACACACACACATTCATAAATACTAGAGGACTGGTACATGAATTCATGCATGGGTGGGGGCCAGCCAGCCTGGCCAGGGGGAGTGGACGTGGGTAGCTGGCTAGCCTGCCTTCTGGTTGAACTCCTGGTTGAGGGGACACTTTGCTTATTAGACTTTTATTGTATAGAATATGTACTAAGTGGCCAGATTATTGTGTTTTCAGAGATCATAGTAAACTGGCCACTCAGTTTACTATGTCCTAACATTCCATTTTCATGTATCACTTAGAGCTAAGTGTTTTCCTTAGTATTTCTAAAGGCCTATTTTATTTTAAAGACCCATAACTCTAATTTGTTATGCTATTCTGAGGGAAAAAATCAGGAAATCAATATTTGTCAACAGGGTTTACATGGTGCATATAACATTGAAATTTAACAGGTTATTCCTCAACCCTTCACACAAGGCCTTCTTGCTTGGAATTAACATATTTCTGAACATAAAATGCTGCTGCATAAAATAGTCAATATAAGTTGATATGTGCATAGATGTACAATTAAATGACTTTGAGCAATGGAAGCATGTATCTGAATAAATAATCAAAACTATATTAATTCATTTGTTACCTTGTTACAAAAAGTGTTGGAGGTAGCTTGCCAATCCAGTTCAAATGCTCATTAAAAGGGCTGAAATAATCAAAGCACAGAAGGTTTGTTTGATTCTTTTTGTTTTCTTGATAACCCAATTTAATCAGGTATTTGCCAATTTGTTAGTGAGTATTCAACCTTTATGGCATCTGATTAAAATTAATTTATGCTGATTTACTATACAAATAAAATCACAGAACTCCAGCCCCAGCTGATTTGGTTTAGTGGATAAAGCATCAGTGTCTGGATTGAAGGGTCCCCAGTTCGATCCCGGTCAAAGGCACATGCCTTGGTTGTGGAGTCAATCCCCAGTGGTGGGCATGCAGGAGGCAGCCAATCAATGATTCCCTTTCTATCTCTCTTCCTCTCCCTTCATCTCTGAAATCAATAAAAATATATATTAAAAAATAAAATGAAATAAAACAAAGCACTGCATTAAGTCTGTTATAATTGACTAGAGGCCTGGTGCATGAAATTTGTGCATTGGAGGGTGGAGGTCCCTCAGCCTGTCCTGCACCCTCTCGAAATCCAGGACCCCTTGGAGGAAATCCCACTGCCAGTTTACACCCAATCCCACAGGGATGGGGCTTAAACTAGCAGTCAGCCTTCCCTCTCACAATCTAGGATTGCTGGGTCCTAACTGCTCATCTGCCTGCCTGCTTGATTGCCCCTAACCACTCTTCCTGCCTCCCTGATCACCCCAAACCACTCACCTGCCTTCCTCCCACACCTAAACACTCTGCTTACCTCTTTGATCCCCCTTAACTGCTCACCTACCTGTCTCATATACCTAAACACTCTGCTTGCCTGCCTGATCCCCCTTAACTGCTTGCCTGCCTGCCTGATTGCCCCTAACGGCCTCTATCTCAGCCCCCGCCACTGTGACTTCTACTGGAAAATCATCCAGAAGGATGCCCAGACTTACATCCAAAAGGCTGTTCAGCTGTTGGGTCTAATTAGCATATTATGCTTTTATTATTATAGATATTGTGGCTGGGTCAATAAGGTGTACCTGGCCTTATTGGTTGTTATCTGAGCTCACAATAAGAAGCTGGAATTACACTTCTCTTTTTTTGAAAATATACTCTTTATATAAAAAGAATATTACCATTTTTGCTCATATATCTTCCAAAACAGTTTTTGAAAGTGGACATACTCCTTTGCATATTTTGAAGTTGACATCAAAGATTTTTTTTTAATTTATTTAAATAGCAGCAAAAACATAGTTTCTAACATATTGTAAACAATAGTATTTTTAAATAAAATAGTCACAGCCCTCTTTAAAATGTATGTGCTGGATTCTAACTACCTTATACTTTGATGCTATCATAATCCATTTTTTATCTTTTAGTAATTTGTTATTGAAATATTACACATGTCCTCTTTTTCATTCCATTGATCCTTTCCAGTCTGCTGTCATAATCGACTTAAAAACAACACATGAATATGTTTTTTTCAGCCTTTGCTTTGAATAATTGAATTCATTGGGGTGAAATTAGTTAATAAAATTATATAGGTTTCAGGTGTACAATTCTACAACATATTATCTGTAAATTATATTGTGTGTTTACCACCTTAAGTCTCCTTCCATCACCATTTACCCTTTTCAACCTCTCCCTATCCCCTTTTTCCTCTGGCAATCACTATACTGTGGTCTGTTACTGTGAGGTTTGTTTTTTTTTCTTTCCTTAATCCCTTTACAAGAAACTCTGAAATAGGGTTTGTAGCAGAACAGCTGTAATCGATAAAAGCTACAGGAGCTGCCAAGAAAGAAGACACTTCCCACACACCGGATTTATAGCTTAAAACCAGCAGCCACCAGCTCCGCTCCATGGTGACTAATTTCACCTAACATAATCCTAGCCTTATTATATGCTTATTGTAATACATTAGCATGCTAAATTATACTCCCCTCTTCCATTGCCATCATTATGGGAAACAGAAAGCAGTTATAAGGACACAAAATGGCCAATGGAGCTCCCCTGAGAAGTCACTACCTCTTTCTGTGGAAGATACTGAATATTTCTCCCCTTCATTTAATACCCTTCCTCCCCCCCCCCCCCAATTAAATGAACCTCAATAAAAGAAGCAAATTTTGGTAAAGGGGGACAGCTCTGTCTGTGGAGTGGTCCTTTCTGTCTCACTGCTTCTGTCTCACTAATTAACTCAATTTTACTTTAAAAATCTATGCTGGCCTGTATTTTACTGACGGAAGTGAAGAACCCCAGTGGGTGACAGATGTTCAGGTCCCTGTACCTCAGGAAGACCTGCATCAAATCAGCATCATTCATTTTTTCTTCCAGAATTCATACTAGTATTTCCTTTCCACTTCACTCACTGAATTTTATCTTAACTAAATGTATTTTATTATTATTATTATCTTTTTGTTTATGTTAATTTTTACCCTAGGATATATTTCCATTGAGTTTTAGAGAGAGTGGAAAGGAGAGGGAGAGTCAGAGAGAGAAAGATGGATGTAGAGAGACACATCAATTGGTTCCCTCCGCATGTGTTCTTACTGGGGCCAGAGATTAGCCTGCAACTGAGGTTTGTGCCCTTGACCAGGACTGAAACTGGGATCCTTCAGTCCACAGGCAAACACTCTATTCACTGTGCTAAACTGGGTAGCCCTGCTGTCTGGGTTCTATCTGCCGGGCCTGGGGTTTCACAGTCATCACCTTGTGAAAGAAACCCCCAAGCCCTGCTGTCTCAGCTCTGTCTGCTGGGCCTGGGGGTGTCCCACCACCTCTGTGCTAAGGAAGCTCCCAAGCCCTGCTGTCCGGGCTCTGTCTGCCATGTCTGGGGGCAGATTCAGCTTCACTGCTTGGTTCCTGTGAACCTTCACAGGACTGACGGGCCCATAAGCTGCAGCACCGATGGAGTGGGGAGGCTAGATCTGCCCCCTCGGATGGACAGGCCCAGACACTCCAGCAGTGGGGCTTAGAGGACTTGGCGCTGCCATCTTGTGGCTATGGGGGCCATCATTTTTGTTGCAGAGTGATGGTTAATTTGCATATTACTCTATCATTAGATAGGGTATGAATTAATATTTATTTTAACCTTAAATGACTATGAGGTTCTAAGTGTTAAAATGTGTCTACTATACTGGATTATGATTAAACTTATTAGAAATATACAATTGAGCAAAACAAAAATATTTAACATTTAAAAAAATAATTATTAATCATAAAAAGTAAAATTTTATTAGAAGTACCTCTCTTAAAGCAATGAAGGGGAATATTTTCAATTAGCACATACATTTGAAGATGAATATTTATTATTGATAAAAATGACACAGCATTTAGAGTAAACTATTTTCCTATCTTTATTTTTCTTTATAAATATAATCAATGGGACAACTTATTCACTTATATAGCAGATTATAGAACTATAAGCCTGAAACCTACGTAATTTTATTAATCAAAGTTTCCAATAAATGCAAGCTTCTTTTTAAAGAGATTGGGATGGAAATAATTTTGTTATAACACTGTTTTTTCAATTATTTAAACTTCTTCCAAGTAATATAGTGATGTACCATTAAAGTTTTTAATGTTCTATCAGCTAATAACTTATGTCCAACTTCAATAAAAGCAAAAAATTGGAACCTATTTTATTTGCAAAACAATTTATTACTTAGTCTTTACTATTATTTATCTTCTTAACAAGAATATTTAAAATGACTCCTTTATTGGGCAACCCAAATACTTTGTAACCTGAGGCAGAGTCCTAAAGCAGTGTCCCAAGTAGGTAAGAGCCATGTTCTTCTTTTGTAAATAAAAGGTGAAATGCAAAAATGATAGTGAGAAAGAAAAGCCTCTATAGCATCTTCTTTTTATGCAAAACAATTTTAACAAAGACAATTTATTTCAGTTGAAACCTAAAATTTGATTCTTTTTAAACTATTGATGCTATAGTACCTCTTAGAGAGGCTTCATATGCCTTCAAGGTCACATGAACCCCATTTTGACATTATATGTTTTTAATTTTTAGCTCTAACATGTCATGATCTGACATTCTAAAATGGTCACTCTGGATTCCTAATTTGTTCCCTCTTCAGAAAAATGAAAAAGCTGAATCAATGGCATTTATGTAATTGTGGAAATGCTGGGAATAAGTTATTCCAAGTTCCATTCCTGAAACATTCAATGATAATTTATTGAGAACTATTATATGTTATGCATTGTATCAAATTCTGTTTGGGTAGGAAAATAAGATTACAAGGTTGTTACCCTTAAGGAATTCATAGTCTAGTGAGGGAAACATACATGTAAATGGACAGGAACCAAAGTATTTAGAAGAAGTGAAGAGGGCATTTAGGAATTCTCCAACTTTGGGTGATACCTTAAAAATAGGCCTGTGTATTTCTTGGATCACATGATCTCACACATAATGAACAACATAAACAGACCCAGGGAAAGAGAACCAGTGATCAGACTCTCAAACCTCAGAGGGAAAGTAAGGGTGGATGGGGGTAAGGGGAAGAGATCAACCAAAGGACTTGTGTGCATACATATGGGCCTAGCCAGTGGCCATGGACAACGGGGGTTGGGGGGCATATCTAGGGAGGAGTTTGAGATGGGAATGGGGGGAATAAGGACAATTATGTGAGACCATAATCAGTAAAAAAAAAAATAGGCCTGAGAAGCATTTACTTAAAGAAAACTTTCCATTCCTTCAGGGAATGAACAGACACTTACGTTTATGAGACTTAGTCATTACTGTAGCATAGAGAAGTAGCATATAGGAGCAAGCATATTAAAATTTTATTGATTTGGGACAATACCAACTAAAATAACTATAATATTGCAGGTTTTTAATGTTTGTTAAACCTAATTAACAATGCATATCCATTATTTTAGCAAAATTTGGAGTCCCACAGAACATTCCTAGATGTTAATTGTTCTATCTATGGTGAAAAAAGTATGGAATATGCTATCTTCTATATCTCTTAGGAAGACACAATGTTCCTTAAGGCAGTCTTTCGGAAGTCCTATAGTAAGGAAACCTATATAAATCTATTCAATCCAGTGCTTCCTAAACTTATGGAAACATGGCACAACTCTGTGCCAGAACAGTAGTTGATAGTACACCAGTTTGGGAAATATTGATGTTGATAGTCTCTTTTTCTGTCTTGCCTACCTAACATAGGCTAAATATGCAATTGTGTGTGTGTACATGCATGTGTGTTAGTGTGTGTGTGTGTGTGTGTGTGTGTGTGTGTGTGTGTGTGTATGACAGAGAGAAACCTAAAGATCCATTAGATATAACCCACTCAAAGTCAGGGGCAGCTGATTACTAAAATAGGTTAACTCCAATTTTTGGACATCCTATGATTCTGTGATACTGTTTTAGAAAACTAAGTGTAATTAATTTGATTTTTGAAAGGTTGTGATTCATTTACAGAAAATAAACCTCTATGTCTTGGATAGGCTATCAATTATTCTTTAAATCAACTGCCCATTGGGGTTAAATGTGCCAGCCAGTCTGCAATAGGCTTACACCTAAAAATGATAAAATGGATTCACTCAAATCGCTGGTGGTTCAATGTCTTAGGTGAACTTTTTCAGGAAATTTATTACTATTATCTTTTATGACATTAAATACATTTGCCCTTATTAAAAAGTTTAGTTGGTTAATTTTCACATCAATTATATTGATTTTTGTCTAGATATAAATATTAAACTACTCCTATGACTTTTTTAGAAAAAGAAAATGTTTATTTTAAAGACAGTTTTAAGAAGTGTTGTATCTTTCTTTTCAGCTTTCTTTCTCTCCAATTTATATTCTACCCCTCAGCCTGAGGGAGCTTTCAAAAATTCTAGTCTAACTATGCAATTATACTAATTAAGACATCCAATTATGTATAGAATGATGTCTGAATACCTAACATTGTTTACTAGATCTTACATAACTTGGATCTATTTTGTATTTATTTTTATCTCTTACCATTTCCTGATTGCTCACTTTGGTTTGGTTACACTGACGTGTATGCAGCCACTTATCTCTATATATAAAACCATTACCACAGGAAGAGTGGATGATCAGACAACCAGATGGCCAGCCGGGAGCTATGACATGCACTGACCATCAGGGGGCAGATGTTCAATGCAGGAGCTGCTCCCTGGTGCTCAGTGCACTCCCACAGCCAACCTCCTACAGTCCCTCCCCTGAGCCAGTCAGTCCTAATCGGGACTAAGTGAGACAGCCCCAATCGACCCTGATTACCAATCAGGCTGAGGGACACACCCATGCACAAATTCATATACTGGGCTCCCACTTTCACTTAATTTATTCCTTCTATCATGTACATACTTATGCTTATCTTCTCTTCATCTGGTTAGCCCCTCCATGCTTAATGTTCTCTTCTAAGATGTCATTACTTTAGGGCAGTGGTAGGCAAACTCATTAGTCAACAGAGCCAAATATTAACATTACAACAATTGCATTTTCTTTTGAGAACCAAATTTTTTAAACTTAAACTTCTTCTAATGCCACTGATTCAAAATAGACTCACCCAGGCTTGGGTATTTTGTGGAAGAGCCACACTCAAGGGGCCAAAGAGCTGCATGTGGCTCGTGAGCCACAGTTTACCGACCACGGCTTTAGGGTAACTTTCCACTACCTCTAACAGTAAGCAATGCATTCCTCAAAAGTACTCCCAAGAACTTATAGCATATATGCATAACCCATGCACACAGACAATAGTGTGGAGAAGGTCAGGGGAGTTTGTAGGATGGATGGGGTCAATGGGGAAAAAATGTGACATCTGTAATACTTTCAACAGTAAAGATTAATTTTAGAAAAGTACTCCCATTACATTCTTTGTATTCACACATCACTGTAGCTACCACACCCTATTGAAATGCCCTTTGAATAATACAATTTTAATAATTATTGGAGAGAGAAAAATGGAAATGACATATCTTTCAACTAAAGTAAAAAGAAAGATGGCACTCTATATTTCTTAAACGGAAATCATTTGTTTTAAATATTTATTTACATTTCACATTCTTAATTAGATTTAGCTTTCTGATAGTTTTCTAATATTATTAAGGTAAAAATGTTGATTTATGTATAGACTTCTTCAGTGGAGAAAAGCACACTAATCATTTTGTTTCAGTTTTGGAAAGAGTCTGAGTCTCAAAGGAGAGAGTAAAGAGTAGAATTTTTTAGATTTAACCAACAGCACATCATCTGACCTTGATGAATGAAGTATTGATCGGATTGGTAATGATTTTAGCATGTTTGAAGTTGACAGAGAAATAATTAGAATAATATTTTACAGAATTTTGATGTTTACTTAAAATTTCTAATGTCACTGGGGCATGACATAATAGAATGAAAGCTTAATACTAGTGTTACACTAAAGCAACCTAGCTGTATATTCACAGTCATAGATAAATCCATCATTTTCATCTCTACTTAAACCTGTTCTTCTTCCAGTCTTCCATATATATATATATATATATATATATATATATATATATATATATATATTAATAACACCATCATTTAACCTATAGAAACCCCCACATTATACTTGACTTATTTTTCTCTCATTGCTCACATTCAGTCACTTCATAACATCCTATCAATTATACCTCCAAAATAATTCCTTTTCTTCAATTCCCATAAATACTGTTCCATCTACAGTATTCATGGGAATTAAAGAAGGCGCTGCCTCCATCACTCCACTACTGCTGCCATTGCTGGCCACCAGTCTCCTAGCAGCTGTGGTTGCTGGCCCTCCTCAGCCCTCACAGCCACTGTGGTTTTGTTTGGAAGGATGTCCAGAAGATGTCTGGTCTGGTTGATCTAAATATTAAATAGCATATCACCCTTTTATTAGTATAGATAGCATACATAATTTATTTATTTAATATCCTGATATATAGGCATTCAAATTGTTTCTAATTTTTACTGTGACAATTAATAGCAAATAATTTTTTTAAATTATCTTTTATATAATTGTGCTTATATATTCATTTATGCAATTTATTAAGGATCGGTTTAGTGTCTTTTTATTGTATATTAAAATACTATCTTTAGATTTGTTATTTCCATTGTTGACTTAATACAGCACATCCTCCAATAACATCAATTTGCTCAAGGTAATTTTGTTATGAAATTGATGAGGGGACAACTAACTTTAAAATTTATATACAACCATAAAAGACCCTGAATAGCCAAATAGAACTTGAGAAATAAAAGTGTGTGTGTGGCATCACATTTCCTCATATCAAACTATGCTATAAGCTACAATAATTTTTAAAAAAATGGTGCTGGAATAAAAACAGAAATATAGATCATTAGAATATAATAGAGAGCTCACAAATAAATCCTCATTTGTAGAGTCAATTAATTTACTACAAAGGAGGCAAGGATATTAAATGGGATAAAGGCAGTCTCTTCAATAAGTGGTGTTGAGGAAACTGGAAAAAATAAAATTGGACCACTTTCTTTCACCATATACCAAAATAAATTCAAAATAGATTAAAGTCTTCAATGGAAGACCTGAGACCATAAAACTTATAACCGTTTTTATGAGGCCAATATAGTCATTCTCAGATGCACTTGAAGAAGCTGAGACATTACAGAAATTAACAGATATATCAGTGGCAGGAAATAGAAGATTTGAGGTTTAAGCACAGACACTAAGTCCAAAGACTTGTTAGTTTAATCACTGTTCAGGTCAAAAGAAAAATTACATCATTAACCTCAAAGAAATGCTAATAGAGTCTATATACAATAGAAATTATAAAATATCAATAATATGTTTTCTGGTTTAAGTATTGAGAATTTGAGTACACACAATTTCAGAATATTAACAAATCAATATTCTAGACCTATTAGTCTTAGAATCAGACTTTAGACTGGGATGAACTCACCACAATAAATGTAATTTTATAAAACCTATGACAGGCAACCAGTTAACTACTCCTCAGGACATCTGAATTACCAAACGATCTTCTTAAATTTAATGAGAAGTAGAAAATACCCTTACTAATATAATCACCTTTGCATATGCCAGTGAAAGAGCACAGAGCAACAGGTCATTTCATAGGTGACTCTTGGCAGGTTTTTTTTTTTTTTTTTTTTTTTTTTTTATATAGAGAAAAGAGACAAAAATGACATTCACAGGCACCACAAAGTGCACAACAGATGGCGCAATATCTGCCCTAGTCAGGAAATTGAACTTGTCTAGAAAGAAGCAATTTCTCTTACATATTTTCCTGGTAGAGCAGAAAATTAAATCAACACAGACACCTTAAATTTCTAACTTATTTAAAATATAAAAAGTTTTGGTTGGAAAATTGTTTAACAAAGTGTACAAATAATTTATTGTGGGGCTCTTTTGGTCAGATTTGGATCAAGAAAATAATTTGTTTAGCTGTTAGGAAGTCCTGGTTATTTCAAATGATTGAAATTTAATTTTCTTCTAAATTTTTTACTGATTCCTCCTAGTCAAAATAAAGATCACATCATTAACTTCAAGGGAATGTTAATAAGTAAAAATAATTGAAAACTTTATTAAGTTCAATTAATTGGTTTTAAAAGTGGTTTTGTCATGGTTCAGTAAGCAGTGTATTGTACATAATTTTAATGATCTTCAATTCAGCTCAGCAAATAAAATTTGCATAGTAAAGCAAAAATTGAGTTCTCTTGATAATTACCAAAATCATTGGCCTGTTTGGTATTTGTGATAAATTGGTTAATTAGGTTTTTATTGCATTTTCAAATTTAAGGGCTCTAAAACAAAGGCAATTTATTTCTCTATATAAACTAAAAAATATAACAAACTTGCTATAGTACACTTAATAATAGCTTTGGACATTCATCTTACAATTTTAATATTATTGAGATGGGCATAATCATAAGTTTCTGTCAAATGAAACCTTAATATTCAAAAGATTTAGGCTTATAATACAAAATCTTATTTATTCACTGCTCATCATAACATGGTATTAAATTCTGTGGGTCAAAAATTATACCATAAAAGTCAGGAAACGGCTATTTATGCAACATGCATTTGGGATATGTATTTTACAATTATGTTTGCCAGGCTTGTAACACTACTTAAAATTGATGGTTTTTATTTATCTTGAATGACAAATCCTCATTTCAGTGTAAGAGGTTATATATTGTTACATAAACACTGGCCTATAGAACATAAGCTGTGCTTTTGACATGTAGAGCCACACAAAATATTATAAGTTTTATAAAATATGAGTATTTTAATCAATTTAGAAATCTTGTAACACTGAAATGTTTGACTCTGTCCTCCTAACACTGGAACTATAAATAAAACTTTCTGAAGGTTAGTTAGCTTCTCTAGAGGAATCCTGGCAATAGCTGCATAAAATATGTGACTACAAGACAACAGTCACTATTGATATTTTAAGTGAAAAGATAAAATTATTGCTATCTAGGGTGTAATTATTACCAATTATAAAATATTTATTATGTACCAGGCAAAACAACAGGCATCTTTACACCTTATTTTTAAAATTCTAATAAAAGTCTTATAAGGTGGGTATTGTTATCTCTAGTTTGCAATTACTAATTGAAAAAGAGGTGATTCCAATCCATGTTTGGACTCAAAACCTTTGCCAAGTTGTGGTATTCTATTTAAGCATTATCTAAATCAAATAAATAAGAAAAAAAAACACAGTGATAACACATGATGTTTAATTTAAAAACCATGTTTATTCACAAAGTAGTTAAAATGTAATGTCACCAGTGTTTCATTCATTTAACATTTAGCATTGTTTAAAAGCATAGATCCAGTGGCTGCATAAGATTCTTGGATCTTATGCAGCCACTGGATCTGGGTAAATAAAATTTACCCAGATAAATTTAATTCTAATTTTCTTTATATCTGTTAGAAGACATATACATGTTAGTGATAAACAAAATAAATAGAGAAAAAAGAATACAGGCTGAGTCTCTACAAATTCAAGATGACTGAAATCATATCAAGTATCTTCTCAGACCATAGTGGCCTAAAATTAGAAATCAATTACAATAAAAATCAATGAAACACATGGAGGCTAAATAGCATGCTATTATACTATGATTGGGTTACCAAAAAGATCAAAGAAGAAATAAAAAGAATCTTAGAAACAAATGACAATGAAAACACAACAATCCTAAATCTAAGGGTCATAGTGAAAGTAATCCTGAGAGGGAAGTTCATAGCACTATAGGCCCACCTCAAAAAAGCATAAAAACTTGTAACAAGGCAGATGCCCCAGGTAGGGGACGGGCCACCATCATCTCAGCCATTGAAAACTTCACACCCTCCCCAGCGCCCTGGCAGTCTTCCTACCATCACCCCGTTATGGTTCGCTTCTGAATGTGCCTCTGTTGCAGCTCCTCCTTCCCTGTCACCAGCTGTCTGGTTCACCGCCTTGTCTTTCTCTGCAAGGACAGCAACGGTCTCCTCCCAGGTTTCTCTCTCCAGTCTCAGGCTCTCTGAACCTATCAGTCAGCCAGGTGGCTCTCAGGTCAGGGTGTGTTAAAGAATGAGAGTTCCCTGGGAAAGAGCCCTCTACCTAGTGGTCTCGAGAAGTGGAGCTGCTGTCCTGTTCATTGGAAGCTGTGTCTACTTTAGCTATTGGAGCTTGTCGTCAAAGATTTTATGAAGAAAGAATGACTTACCAACTCCTAAAATCAACAACTTCAAGGGCCCTCTGAAAATCAAGGGTTACAAAGATACTTGGGACACAGACACAAATTGGCAGAAGAATAGATGGATGGGATCTGAGCTTTGTCCCAAAGCAGAAAGAGAGAGCAGCTGAGGGTCATGCTAGGAGTGTTTATTAGCAAGCTAACAGACAGGCAAACTCCAGGAGAAGGTGAGGGACTGCTGATTAGGGTGCCCCTGACAGGGAAGCACCCACGGCGGGGCTGGGTCCCCTCCTGGAGCTACCTACTTGCTTGAACAGGAAAATCTTGCCATTTTTAAAGTAAAAGTGGATCTTGTCAGAGGCCTGAATATCCACAGCCACAGTGACCACCAAGCAGTTGTGAGCCCCAGAAAGCTGGTCCCAGGTGTCGCACACACTTGGACTCAAAGGAGTGCCCCACTGCACAACAAAAAGGAGAGAGAGAAATACATAACCAGACATCCTGATAAGAGAGATCATGGGGAGACAAAAACCAGCCCGCATATGAAAGAAAAGCAGGGATCACCAGAAAAGGAAGTAAACCAGTTAGAGGCAAGCAACCTACCAGAGCAAGAATTCAAAGTAATGATCATAAGATGGCTAAAAAGAATGGAAGACAAATTTTACAATATGAGTAAGAACCAAGAGGAAATGAAGAAGAACCAAGAAGAAATGAAAAGTGGCATTGCTACTATAAAGAACTCAATAGAAAGCATCAAGAGTAGACTAGAAGATGCAGAGGACAACATCAGTGAGCTAGAAGACAAGAGGGGGAAAAAATACCCAATAAGAGCATCTTCTGGAAAAAAAAAAAAATTAAAAAGCAGGAGGAGATCCTAAGGGAACTTTGGGACAATACAAAACAAAACAATATTAGAATAATAGGAGTTCCAGAAGGAAAGGGAACTTAGGAAGGCATAGAAAAAAAAAATGTTTGAAGAAATAATGACAGAAAACTTTCCTAAGATAGAAAAAATAAAATAAATAACCAACCCAAATCCAAGAATCTCACAAAGTCCCAAACAAAATGAATCCCAAAAGACCAACACCAAGGCGCATTATAATTAAATTGGCAAACACCAACTACAAAGTAAGAATCTTAAAAGCAGCCAGAGAGAGACAGAAAGTTACATATAAAGGAACCCCCATCAGACTAGCAACTGATTTCTCAACAGAAACTCATCAGGCCAGAAGGGAATGGAATGAAATATACCAAGTCATGCAAAAGAAGGGTCTGAATCCAAGAATACTGTACCCAGCAAGGCTATCAATCAAAATTGAAGGTGAAATCAGGAGCTTTATAGAAAAAAACCAGACTAAGGGAATTTATCCAGCAGGGAATTTAACCAGCAATGCAAGAAATGCTAAAGGGTCTGCTGTAAAAATAAAGAAATAGGAAGCGAAGAAGGAACACAGGGGTATAGAATAAAAATGATGACAAATAAGTACCTATCAATAATAACTTTAAATGTAAATGAATTAAATGCCCCAATCAAAAGACAGAGGGTAATGAATTGGATAAGAAAACAAGACCCATCTATCTGTTGTCTATAAGAAAACCATTTCAGAGAAAAAGAAGCACACAGAATGAAGGTGAAGGGATGGAAAAGGTTTTCCAGGCAAATGGAAATGAAAAAAAAAAAAAGCTGGGGTAGCAATACTTATATCTGACAAATTAGATTTCAAAGTGAAGGACATAAGAGATAATGAAGGCCACTTCATAATACTAAAGGGAGCAATCCAACAACAACAACAAAATAACCCTCATAAACATATATGCACCCAATACAGGAGCACCCAAATATATATAAACAAAACTGCTGGAGGAAATTAAGGGAGAGATTAATAGCAATACAATCATAGTAGGAGATTTTAATACCCCGCTATCACCTTTGAACAAATCATCTAAACATAAAATCAGCAAAGAAACATCAAGCCTAAATGAAGCACTAGACCAAATGGAATTAATCTACATCTTCAGAACATTTCACCCAAAGCCACAGAATATATATTCTTCTCTAGTGCAAATGGGTCATTTTTAAAGATAGACCACATGTTGGGACATAGTCAAAGTCTCTTCAGATTCCAGAAGATAGAAATCATATCAAGCATCTTCTCAGATCATAGTGGCATAAAACTGGAAATCAACTACAATAAAAATAATCCAAAGAAATCAAACACATGGAGACTAAATAGCATGTTATTAAACAATGACTGGGTTACCAGAGAAATCAATGAAGAAATTAAAAACATCCTGGCAACAAATGACAAGGAAAACACAACAATCCAAAATCTATGGGACACAGAAAAAGCAGTTTTGAGAGGGAAGTTCATATCACTACAAGCCTATTGCAAAAAAACAAACAAACAAACAAACAAACAAAACAAAACAAAAACAAAAAAAAAAACAACAAGAAAAGCCCAGTGTAAGCAGGAGGAAGGAAATATCAAAAATCAGAGTGGACATAAATAACATAGAGACCAAAGAAACAATACATAAGATCAACAAAACCAAGAGCTGGTTCTTTTAAGGATAAACAAGATTGAGGAACCCCTAGGCAGGCTAACCAAGAAACAAAGAGAGAGGACCCAAAGAAACAAAATTAGAAACTAAAGAGGTGAAATAACAACAGACCCCACTGAAATACAAAGGATTGTTAAAAAATAGTATGAACAACTCTATTCCAACAAACTGGACAATCTGGATGAAATGGACATATTCCTAGAAAAATATAACCTTCGAAAACTCAAACAGGAAGAATCTAAAAATCTCAATAGACCAGTGCCTTTGGGAGAAATTGAAACAGTCATCAAAAAGCTTCCAGCACCTCTTCCGCCATGCTGCCGGCATGAGTGGGATAGCCCATGCTAGCATGGAGATGGCTCTTTTGTTTATTGCATCGGACTCGGCTCCCTGGTGGTCCTTGGGGATCATGACTGGAATCCCCAGCCAGGACCATGAGGGACCCCCATTCCGAAGAGCCTGACTGGCCGCGGTAGGTGTGTGTTTGTGTTTTTGTGTGAGCGCTCTGGAGGGACTGCCCCTCCATCGGGGCTCTTACCTGGGTGTTTACCGGCTGCTGCGTCAGCCATGGTTTGAGTCCAGATTCGAATCTGTAATAAATTCTAGCATGCTTAATCAAAAAAATAAAAATAAAAAAAAATTAAAAAAAGCTTCCAGCAGACCTGATCTGTGAATGGGTTGTTGACAGGAGAGCAGTCTTTGGTTGTGAATAGGACTCAGATTCAAGAATTTGCCCTTGCAATGGCACCAAAGTTTGACATAGCCCCAGAAGACTTCAAAACATCACAACACTGGCTGGATAATTTCCTTCAGTGAAGTGAACTGTCTTTAAGAAGATCTACAATATTGTTTAGGTTGGAAGATACTCAAGTTATTAAGCGAGCACTTGCATTCAAGTCCTTTATTGATGATGCTGACTTCTCTAAATACAATCTTTCCAACATGATTGCTATGGATGAAACTGCAGTGTTTATGGGCCAATCATCTCTAACAACAATTGAACAGCGGAGCGCCTCCTAAGTGCACATTCCCTCCACTGCTTACGGAAGTGCACATGTTTCCTGTATTTTGGCAATTGATCTGGATGGCACAAAATCCCACCTTTAATCATTTCTAAGGGCAAGAAGGAAAAGATTGAACGTGTTTTGGGCATTTTTATTCTTGAAACTGAAAAAGCCTGGGCCACACAAGTAGTTATGAGGAAGTGGGTTGATTTAATGCTGTCGCTTGTTATGCGAGGGAGCCAAAGAGGTCTGCTAGTCTGGGATGCAGCCAACACTCACCGCGCTAAAGACATGAAGACATATATTCACGAAAGAAAAAATAGATCAGATAATGATTCCTACAGGAAAGACGGCCTATCTCCAGACTCTTGATATTGCAATAAACAAGCCATTCAAAGACAATTTGAGCATGGAAATTAATAACTACATTGAAAATAGAATGAGAGAAATCAGCGTGGAAACTTTGTGAAACCTAAACTGCAAGAAGTTGTGACTTGAGTGAAGAATTCATGGGAAAAAATCACTGACAGTTGCATTGCAAATGCACTGCGAGCAGGCTACCTTGACAAGAAGACAGTGCTTTTGCTAACCATGAGAGATTTGGTCCACTGATTCTGAAAGAAATGGAGTCACAAGAAATTCACCAGGAAATTCAGGAATTGAATTGTTATGATGATGTTCCAGAAGATGATGACATGATTGTCATTGAATAAATGAGTAAATTATTAATAATGTAGGATTCATAGTTTGTCTGGTTTGTGTTGACAACTACCATACTACCATACCGTATACAGGTAATAAATTTCCTTTATTTTCATTTAACAATAAATGTGTACTGTATTCTTCTTCATGGAAAAATAGGACATCCCCTGAAAATAAGACCTAGTGCATCTTTGGGAGCAAAAATTAATATAAGACACTGTCTTATTTTTGGGGAAACAGGGCATCTATCAAAATTTAAGCTGTAGGGTCTTGGAGGTAGCGGTGCCCACAGGGATGGACAGCCTGGTGAGGGATGGGGTCCCGGGGTGGCCAAGGATAGGAGGGGGTGGGAATTTAAACTATACATATCCATGATGGAACAAGTTCATATTCAGAAACATTCCACAGCAGACTGATTTTCCAAAAGTGTGATGAGAGAGTAATACTGGGCCCACATTCTCTTCCAGAATTCTGCCACTCCAGGTCAAGAGGTGGAGTCTGCCCCCCCCCCCCCCCCCCCCGCTCCGGAAGGCTGGGTGAGATTTGGGGGTTGCCTGGCTGCGTGTCTGACTTCTGGTCCAGGCTAGACCTCTCTTAGAGTGCTGCTCCCGGGCTCACCCATTATGTTATGAGGAAGCCTAGGCTCTCTGGAGAGGCCACATGCAGGGTGTGGATCTAGCTAAAGTCTTAGCCAGCAGCGGCATCATTTGCCAGCCCCGTGAGTGGCCACACTTCCCGGGACTCCAGCCCCGCCGGGAGGTGCTGCAGCATGAGCAGAGCAACCCCACTGAGCTCTGCCTGCCAAACCCACCAGATTTGTGAACAAACATAAATGTTGTCTCAGATTTGAGCTAATTTGTTACACAGCTTCAGCAATTGAGAGAGAGATTTTAGTAATATGAGAACATGCAGCTGCTGGTGGTGAAAACCAACAGACCCTTGTCAGAGACTGTGGGCCGTGGCTGTTGGGCAGCCCACCATGCCTGGAGGACCAGGGCAGGCCAGAGGGATTCTGCAGAAGCTGCCTGGCCTGGCTGGGGAGTGCTGACGCAGGCCTCCGTAAGCAGCCCTCTGTGGGGAGCGTGTATGACGGGCCAGTGCTGGTCCACAGAGGTGAACAGGCAAAAGCCCCGGAAAGGCAGTCACAACGGTGAAGGAGAAGAACAAAGCCGGAGGGCTGTCACTGCCTGACTTGAAGGCTCACTCCGAAGCTGGTCATCAAGAGAGAGTGGTCTTGGGGAAAGGACAGGCAACTAGATCCAAGTGCTCTGCCTGCACGAGGGGTGCGGGACTGTGGAGGGAACAGGATGGAAAGTGAAGGGCCCTGACCTTGGACCGAGCTCTCCTCATCTGCCCGTCTCTGACTGCAGGGCCCTGGGCAGGTCACCTACCATTTCTGAGCCTCAGTTTTCTCATCTGTAAAGTAGCGAGAATGATACCTACCCCATGGGGGGCTGTGAGCACCAATGAACCTAAATTTGGTGCCAATAGAGGGCCCTGCTAATGTGAGACATAACTTGAACACATTTACTGTGATCAGCTTTGAGGGAACAGAGCAGTGCAGAGGCTTTCCACCGGGTCAGTGGTGACCCAGAGCACCCTGTGTCCGGGTGTGTCGGGAAGGGAGCATGAGGGGTCCGCAGTTCCCCTGCAGGTCCAGCAGCGGTGTCTGGGCCCCTCCCACCTGCCCCCAAGTTCCTGGCCTTCCTGCCCCAGGTGGGCACTCCCATGGGGTCTGTCCTCCCAGGCATGCAGCTGCCTGGCTTCCCCGCTGCCGCCCATCAGCTGAGCCTTTAGTGAAGGGCATGTGATTAGGGTAATTCTACCTGAAACTTGTGCTTCCCAAGTTTATTTCTGCTTGAATATTTGCTCTTCCCACCCAATGGAATGTCTACTGCTCCATCGGACTTGCATTCCTACCTGAAGGAGGAGGTGTTTACCAATTGTCTCCTGAGAGCCGTTAGTTCTGGATGGCATCTCACTGGCTCTGATGCCCCGATTGTCCAGGGGGAGCCATTCTGGAGGCAGAGGCTGCAGCTTATGAGGTGACTGGGCAAGCTGGCTTCCGAGGGGTCCTGGCAAATGAATCATGGCCGGGTTTTCAATAAAAATGGAGAATTGAAAAAAAAAAAAAAAAAAAAAAAAAAAGCTTCCAGCAAACAAAAGCCCAGACTAGATGGCTTCATAGGAGAGTTTTATCAAATATTCAAGGAATAACTAAAACCTATCCTCCTCAGACTATTCCAAAAAAATTGAAGAGGAAGGAACACTTCCAAACTCCTTCTATGAAGCCAGCATCACTCTAATATCAAAACCAGATAAAGACAACACAATGAAAGAGAATTACAGGCCAATATCCCTCATGAACATAGATGCCAAAATCCTCAACAAAATTCTAGGAAATTGGTTCAGAAAGATCAT